AAAAATAAATCAAAAGTAGAAAAACAAATTAAATTCGGGAGCAATGTACCTATTAGAAACTTTTATGGAAATGTTTAAATTTTAAATGTAATTGTTATACAACACAAAATACACTAGGTTACACACTGGATAGGCGGGCAAAATAAATAATATTTATTCAAATACGTTTAAAATAATTGCACCCGTGCTTGATTAATGTAAAAATTTCCACTAGCAAACATACCCAATGTCAGAAATTTTTGAGTGTTGATTATTGACAAAATACGATACTTAATTGATAAAAAATGAAAAACTTATTGTAGACATTTTATTTTAATTTAAAGCAAGCTATTACATTTATGATTTTTTTCAAAAATATCTAATGAAAAAAATTAATCAACCTTTAGCACTGAAAAGATGTTATCTTCCAAACAAAATCTGTTTGTTTTTTAAACAATAAGATTTTATCTTATCTGCACAATGATTTGACGTAAGAAATCGACATTCAAAAGGTATTTAAACATAAACTTTAACACTATTGAAAAAAATCTTACCGTCTTTTTGACCATCTTGTTTATAACGTCTACAAGAACACAAAATATGTACAAAAAATAAAGCAACACATAATCCAAAGAAAACAGTTTCGAACAACATTTTTTATCACTGCTGTAATTTTCATGCGATGTTGCCTCGAAGTTGTTTTAACAATTAATAAACTTGTTATAAATGTGAAACGGTTTTTTATGAAAAGTACCTAAGCAAACTTAGGCGATGTATAATCTGTTAATTGTTATCCCCATTTGAACATAAATATCAGCGATAATATTTGACTATCATTATACAAAAATGTCTAAAAACATTATTTTGTTTCTAAAAGGCAGTGTTTACCTTAACGCGAACAAAACAATTCGATTAGCATTTGATTAAAAGATACCAGATGTGGAATATGATTTAATCCATCAACAGACACTTGGAGATGTTGATACAAACAATAGAAGGGAAACAGCTACCAGGGTTCAGTAAAAATTTGCCAAGATAAGAGATTATTGATAAAGTGCTTCATTTAAAGTAAGTGTCAGGAAATGTATCGTGTACTTTGATTGGCAATGGAGTACTGGGAAAGTGCCTTGATTTTAGCAGGAATAGTGTTTGTGATTATGCAAGTGACAAAAATTTGCCGAGATGGTGAGACATTTTTTAGTAAATTACTAATCCACTTTATGTAAATTTTAGTTGGTTCTAAAAGCCAGCAGCAAATACAAGGAAGACTTCAAAATGCCTCCAATGTCTACATTATCGAAGATGATTTTTACATCATAGGTAATTCAAGTAATTATTTCAAACTAAATTTATTGTTTTAATGTTTTATTTAGACACTTTCGGTGATGATGTACCAAATTTTCCACCACCCCCTTATACGGAAGCAAGCAATTCTATTGGTTTAGATTTTCCACCTGAATACGATCCTCCACCAGACTATAGTTTTGTAGTGGAAGTGGATGCAGCTATTACAACCTAAAGAATCTCTAATAATGATATTAAGACTGATAATTCGTAAGGTTTTATTGAAAACTGCTTAATTATACTTTATAAGTATTTTTATATATTTTTTAATTTAATTTCTTTTTGGTATTTTAGTGACTAATAAACAATGACAAGAATTTGTATTGTGGTTAGCTTCAATAGCAACTGTTCTTGTAGTTATAGAATAGATTGTTCTTGTTCCCACCCAAAAGTGAGTGTCCCAACCAAAACTACCATACAACCTTGAGTTTTGAATTAACCCATGACACGTGACTAACTCAGTTTACCTGTAGCTTGCGCATTGAAGTGTAAAGTTAGTGTAGGAAAGTTTAAAATTAATGTTTATATGACTTTTGATCGATTTTAAGCAATAAATGACTTGGTTACAGTGTGTACATTTTTAAGTGATAGGTAAATTAAAAAATGTAGTTGTGAATTAATGATACCACCACAAACTACAAAATTTAAATAAATATTTTGTGGTAAGTTTATTAATTTAACTGTGTTTAGAAAAAAAAATTCAAGTCTACAAGCAGATATTTATCTTAATATCTAATAATCTATTGAAAATATCTAATCAGAATAAGTATTGATATCTAGTTATTGACTATAGAATAAAAACTGGTATATGCACATACAAAAATAATTTGTTACTAAAGGACATTTCATTTTTTATTTGTTTTTTTTTTGTAAATTGTTTTACAAAAAGGAAATCATCAGGATTAAAACTTATTTTCATAAAAAAACAGAAGTAAATCTTCTAAACATGTTTTACAAAATTATTAAATAAGTGCTTTTTATATAGTTAAAACTTAAAACGTACGTGTACTGAAAGTTCTTTCACCTCTCCGTAACAATGGAAGCTTTTACATAAATAAAGTTCTTCACGGTTGTGTTTTCCGCTACATGTAGTAATCAGCTAGCAACACCTTCAAAAAACAATATTTTCATTTAGTTTAGGTTCAGAAAGCCCTAACTTTGATGCCACTAACTCCAAAATTATAATTTTTTTAAAAAAACAACACTTTTTCCACTTAATTCAGATCAAATTTTAGCGCACTTTTGATCCCTTATCACAGAACTCTTGTTGTTTTTTGTTGAGATAAGAGGAATTGGAAATACAATTACTCTATCACATTCATAGTTGACACATTTGTACGACTCCAAAATGTACTCTTGTTTTACACTGCAGCAAGATTATTATATTTTTAGATAAGACTTTATTGTTCCACTGTGATATAAAATGATAACAATTTAGAAGTGGGTTTTAATTTCAGATTGAAATGATTAATCATCAGCTGGAGAAAAATAATGGATTTTGACATATATGTGTTGATACCTATAATCTTAGCTATCACAATCATGTGTCTGCTATCAATTTTAAGGTGTAGAAGACGTAAGTATAATAATTAATTAATAAGCAAATAATTTGTAAATAATGGAATTTTTTAAGATAAAAAAAATACTGTAACGCAAATGGCGACAACGAATATTTACACAGTGCCGGCAAACTACAATGCAGTTAATCGAAATTACACATCTTCCCCCCAGAATCCTGGTAAGTACATTTACTCAGCCTACATAAGTAAAAATACTGAAGCTTACATTTTAGTCTTGTCTAATACCACAAATTTTGGACATCACAGGATTTCAAGTCAAGGTGAGAGGTTCGCAGTTCCTGTTGATTTACTTCCACCGGATTTTGGTAATAACTTTTTATAACTTATAAAAATAAATGTAATTGTTTATGTTGTAGACTATACTGCTCCAGGCGTTGAGTATAAAGAAAATTATGTCTTAGTCAAAGATCTGACTGTAATAAACAAACCTGCAGTTGATGAATATCAAAAACAGTCACCTTATAATCCCAATTTCCAATAACTTTATACCTTAATTACCCATATTTGTGTCTCTAATAAGGTAAAAATGTTTTTAATTAAGTAATTTTATGTAAATATAAGAAATAAGCTTTATTATTTATTGAATAAATAAAAGCATGCGCAAACATATTTTTTTTCATAAATAATAGTAATAATAATTTATTATTATTACATCTCTCTACAATACACAGGGTGGTTCCGTTTTTATCGACGAAAATTCAAGAATAGTTACAACACCGTAAAATAATGTGGGTTTGTGCTTATGAATAATTGTTTAAAAATGCTTCCCTACCAGAGATAAATGGCGCCAAAGTTTACTAGATGAGTGATGACATTTATCCCTGTATACTTACTTATAGTATTTAATAACTATAATCAAGTTAATATGTAATATAGTTATTTATTGTAAGAGTGTGTTAGATAGCGTTTTAACCACGCAAGAATGTTTAACCGTGAGAACGTCAGTTCGAGCGGTTAATTTTCTTAACTGGATAAAACGCGAGTAACACAAGACTGGAATATAACGTTTTATCCACAATCACAGGCCCAAATTATTCCAAACTTAATTTAAAAATTAAACTGACATTTCAACGTCACGCCAAATGTGCTTTCGGTTAAACGTAGGAAGCTGTTACGCGGTGGGCTGGTTACTAACAATGGAATAAAGTTACTATATTCCATTAGTGGATAAAGTGGTACTTTATACGCATCTAAAGTGTGGAATAAAGTCTCTTTATAGAGTGATTGTGGATAATAAATTTTTATAATTATTTTTATTAAGCCTGTCGTAAATCGCTTTAAAAATTAAACTTAAAAAACTATTAATATATACCTACTTTTAGGTGAATTTTTACTTCAGCGAAAAGGGTAAGTAAGTACTTAGTATAAAATTACAATTATTTAAAAAAGTAGTAACGAACTGTCATATTCAATAATCTTTAATATATCTCATCGAAAGACTTTTAGTTTTAGTCAATGACCTTACAAGTGCGTCATCTACAGGACTCCCCTATAAAAGTTGAGTTTTTTTATTTAATTTTTAAGATCAACAAAATTACAAGTTTATAGGAATCACCATTAATAACAAACAAATTGATCTACTATAGTAGTTTATTACTTAGGTACAAGTGTTATAAAATACACATTTATTGTCTTGCAGTGTTTAAACTTACATGTTTCTTGTGGTTTATAAAAAAAATATTATTTATTTGTTTTGTTTTATAAGCGTTTCACATAATACTGATTCGTTGGAATGATGTGATTATGTAATTCAAAGAGTACAATAGTACACAAACACACAATATTATGTTGCTACAACACACCACACCTTGGAGTAGCTGCCATCACTACCTGGCATATTAACCTCGATTTCCTAATGAAAGTGGTTACTTTAACAAATTAATACATAGCCGGATCAATAAATGGCTCACATGAACATAAAAACTTAAATTAAGAGGTCATAAACTAAAAAAACAAATTTTAGATAAAATATATAGGTATTTATTTTTAACACACTCCAATAGTGGTAAATGAAATACATATTTAAGAAAACATATATTTTGCATTCAAAATAAAAAAAGAACTTAACATAAGTAAGCACTCTGTATCACATTTAAAAAACAAACTTAGAGCCTTGTAAATCTCACAAGTAAAAGTATCTCATATCAAATTCTGTTCATTATAACAACAAAGAAACAAAACAATTCAGACTGAAAACTTCTTAAAATTAATAATTTGGGTTATATGGCGCCTGTTTAGTGTAGCCCTCCTTCGCTGGTAAGGGCTGCATTGGAGGTTGCGATATAGCCTCAGAGTATGAAGGAGGTTGGGCCCCATAATCAGGATATGGTGAGGAGATTGGAGGCCCTGTTGATGGATAAGAGGGCCCAGCTGGTGGGTAAGGTGTCGGACCTACAGCTGGTGGATATGGCGCGACGCCTGCTGGTGGATAAGGGGCCGGGGCAGCTCCTGAAATAATACGATTAGTAACAAAATTATCACTTTTAACAGCAAAAAATAAAGCAATCAAACAAAACAAACAAAGGCGCAGCTTTCACATACCCACTGGTGGCGGATAGTAGCCAGCAACTATGAAAGACAACATTAATGTAGATGTGCATGAATTAAAAAAGAAATGACCAACTCACCAGGTCCTGGGTGTGGATTGTGTGTGGGGTATGGCGGGTTGTGAGTGGCAAATCCAGGGCCGGGAGCGGGGACCGCCACCCTCTGTGGTGTCGGATGTCTTGGCTCCACTGGATAAGGGGGCACCACAACTGGCGAAGCTGAAATATGTTGGCTTGTTACAGTGACGTTCCGGCCAGTTACTAAATCAACCAAATCTAATAAATTTCGATTCCAAACATCTACAATTACTTACGTCCGTAAACGGTGCCCTCACGCTTTCTCTTACAACAAAATCCGCATACGGAAAATAATATAAATACTAACACAAAGATTATTATTGGAATAAGGACATCCATGACTAATGTGAATTTCAATAAATACTGATTACATTAAATTACATAAATTGTGTTGAGCAAATTTGTCACACTTTATGAATCATTTTTGTTCGCGAAAATTACACAGGTGAAATTGTGTACAATTTTTCAAAATTTTACATGCAACTGACCCACATGGTGGAGTTATATAATTGTTTTTGCTAGAACTAAATTACTAAACTAAGTTTCATTCGAAATTAAACTATTCGGACATCGACTACACGTTTGACAGCTTGTTGTCAAAAGAGGTCACACGTAATGCCAACATAGGCCACAAAATTGTTGCACAAATTATTGAAAAAATGTTATTTTTCTAAACTAATTGTTTGGTGTTTACAAATATAATATTATAAAAGTACAAGCTTTGCGATTTTATATTATGAACAATCAACAAGAAAAAAATTAATGTGAGGAGCTACTTTCTCAGGTTGGTAGAAGTGCAAAACATTTAAGTTTAAAAATTAGCATATTTCCCCCTTTCTTTCAAGACTTATTAATGCAATATTTTAAATTCAAAGAGAAAAGTATTAAAATTAAAATAAAATGTATTTATTTTAATCACACTTTGGTAAATGATACTCACAATTAACAAAACAGTTTGTATACAAAATAAAAGATCCTAAGTAAACATAAGTAAGCACTGGATCACATTTAAATGAGGCTCTAATAAGAGCCTCAATCTCATAAGTATTTCTTTTAAAATCTTTGTGTTGTCCATTATAAAGATTCAAAACTCTTTAAAATTAATAACTTGGGTTGTATGGCGCTTGTTTTGTGTATCTCGCCTTAGAAGAGGTTGAGAGTTGGGCTGGCGACTGGGAGACAACTTCAGAATATGAAGGAGGTTGCGAATCATAATCTGGATATGCTGCAGAATGTGGAGAGCCCGCTAACGGGTACGGAGTAGAGCCTGCGGGTGAGTAGAGAGCAGAAGAAGCCCCTGAAACGACCCAATTAATTACAAAGTTATCACTAATTCAATGTTAACAAAAACAGTAAACACACAAAAACAAAGTATAAGCTCAATCTTAGCATACCAACTGATGGAAGACAGTAGTCAACACCTATGAAAGACCACATTAATTAATAAGACATTTGTGTGTGAATTTAAAATAGGCAGACGTACCAGGCACTGGATGTGGAGTGTGTGTAGGGTATGGCGGGTTGTGTGTGGCAAAACCAAGACCGGAGGTGGGAACTCTCGCAGATTGTGGTGTTGGGTGTCTTGGTTCTACTGGATAAGGCGGCACCACCACAGGCGAATCTGAAATGTGTTGACAGTTTCTACATTAATGTTAAAGAAATTAAACTGCTTCCAAAATTATTTTTTTTTAAGTTTAACAAATAATTTTGAATTGTCAAAACAATCGTAATGCCAACTTAAATCACAAAAACGTTGTACAAATAATTTAAACTTCATACGTTCATACCACTTTTTAATAAATTTATCTTTAAAACGAAACTTATAATATTAATAAAAAAGCATAAACTAAAATTTTATTTCAAAAAATTAAGCGAACAGAGTAGCGGTTTTATTCCCCCAGATTGGTATCAATGTAAAACATGTAAGTCCCGATCAGCTGATCCGGCTTGTCAACAAACAGCAAATAGTGCGCATATTAAAAATGTTCTATCATTATTTCCACCGTTAATGTCACGAATTTTCCGGCGACTATTCTCAAAACACGATTCAAGCGACTTATTGAAACGAAAAATGGCCCCTCCACGGTACTTCCCCAATACGATGCCCGACTACGAGGGCCAAGAGATTGACACTCAGTTGTCGCAAGGTTTCTTGCTAAAATTCATGGAAAAAATAATAATCGACATCGAAAAAGCAATTAAACCCATCGACCGCAACGGCCGCGACGGCTTGTACTTGGGTACAGCGGGGATTTCATACATGTACTACCATTTGAGCAAAATCCCAAATCTGAGCGAACACAGGAATCGTTTTCTGACAAAAGCGGTTGAATATCTGACTCCTGCGTTCAATTCAATGAGAAATAGTTCTCACAGAGACATTCCCTCGTTCATTTTGGGAAATTCAGGAGTTTACGCGGTTGCCTCAGCCATTTACAGGGCAATGGGAGACACCAATCAAAGTGAGAACTTGAGAAAAATGTACTACGATGCTGGAAACATTTGCAAAGATATCCAGTTTTTAAATTGCGGCTCTGATGAATTGTTTGTTGGACGAGCTGGTAATAATGAACAGTTGAAGTATTTTTTGTAATAAATGTAATTTTAAGGCTATGTCTTGGGTGCTTTATGGTTAGCCAAAGAAACAAACACAGAATTGCCAAAAAACGATATTTTTATTTTATGCAATATTATGGTTGAATCTGGTCGCAGATACGCCCAAAGACGTACGTGTCCCTGCCCCCTTATGTATTCATACTACCAAGTTGAGTACTTTGGGGCTGCACACGGCCTTTGCACTATATTACAAGCTATACTCAGCGTTCCTGGCTACCTAGATTCAAACCCTGAACATGCAAAAGAAGTGAAAGCCTCCGTTGATTATCTATTATCGCTCCAAGACCGCGACGGGAACTTCCCATGTGCTAGCGATGAAATTGGCAGCCACAGTGAGTTAGTCCACTGGTGTCATGGTGCCGCTGGGATCATTTATCTGATGGCTAAAGCGTATTTAGTTTGGCATGAAGAGAAATATTTAAGGTCGTGTGAGAAGATGGGAGATTTGATTTGGGCCAAAGGCCTGTTGAAGAAAGGACCAGGGATTTGTCATGGAGTGGCCGGGAATGGCTATGCATTCTTATTATTGTACAGACTGACGGAGCAGCCGAAACATTTATACAGAGCGGTTAGTTTTGCAAAGTTCATGCAGACAGAGCAATTTGTAAATCAAGCGAGGACTCCTGACAACCCCTTTAGCTTGTATGAGGGGATAGCAGGAACGGCTTGCTTCCTAGGAGATCTGATGTGCCCACAACAAGCAGTGTTTCCTTTTTCGGACGTATTTTAAGTCGTATTATAGCTAAATTATTAAATCTCTTAACCCAAACAGTCTATGCACCCTACATTCCTAACAACGACAATAATAATAATTGAAAAATATACCTTGTGGTCCCCGTATCTAATATTTTTTCAGTCAAACTTATAAAATACTTCAACGACTGTGATAAAATCAACACAAAGCCAACCTGGAGTTGAATAAAAGAATGTTTGTGGTGAAGGTGCTTGCAGTATCTCGTCATAACGAACTTGTAGAGGAAATTTTGGAAGCATATATTTTTCCTTTTCGCTGTCTTAAAATGAGTTTATTAATTTGCATAAATTTAGAAGTTATTTTATTCACAATACCTATGCAACACTTTACAACCCACATTAAAATAACTATTAGAACTATAATGGCAACGACTGCGGCTGTCATCTTTTTGCAACTAGCTCAATTAATTAATGGATGTTTTCACTTCAAAACTGAAAAATGGCACTTCAGGTTAGCAATGAAACCACATTAATTGTGATTATTAATAGAAGCGAAGGAGTGTGTAATGCGCAATCAACAAAAATATCACGTGGCTCGGTTTGAGAATAAGATTAATTAATTTTATCAATTAAAATATTTTTTATGGTATTAATAGCAAAGTCTAAATGGATCGAATAACAAATTTCGAATATAAATAGGATGTTCGGGAAAAGGGTTAAAATATTTTGGGGGTGATTCCATAGGCCAATAATAGAAAAAAATTTGAATCTAGAGCCATAAACTCGACAACTGTGATTCGACCTTATACATCGGTGTGCGGTTTTAAAAAAACCCGTTTTTCTCAAAATCCGTTCGTCGTATAAAAATATCACTAGAGGCATTTTTTACAGAAAATTAATCTGAATCTGTAGAAAAAATTAAATAAACGTTTTCCAAACACAAACTTAGTTTGTTATCCCAAATGGAAATTTTTGGAAATTTAGTTTAACCGGTTACTGAACTAATTTAAAAAAAAAACCTTTTGCTAGGTGTTTTAAGAAGATTCTAGCTCCCTTAAGGAGAATTTTCGGACATAAGTCCATGGAGACTTTTTTCTTCCCCCCGAAATCTTTTAACGCTGTATAAGGAAAAGCAGGGATTAGTCTAACTTTTAATACCAGAAAAAACTTAATCAAGACAAAACTGATAATAACAGACAAGGTAGTCCCGCCTCGTACTGTTCCAGTACTTAGTTCAGAGCTGGAGTGTGTCTTTTTTCAATAATCTGATGGACACAAAAAACAAAATTCACTAATTCAGTTTTTAAAATGCAAAAATAAAACGAGTTTGTGTCTTGTAATAATAGAGCTATTGTGACATACACATTTATGTAGGTACATCTTGTATGTAGAAAACAAAAAAGTTTTTTATTGTAAAAAAAAAATAAATCGAATAACGTCAAAATTATTTTGGGTCTGTTATTTAAGATTGAGCATGCATTATTTTCAATATTGTATTTATTATTCAAGCAAGATATAAGACCTACCTAAAAATTATTCATACATTTACAAATGTGGGCACCACGATACGATAACTGTAGCTACTTAATTTGTCGCTGATTAGTGATTACTGTCACTATTCACGATAAAAGTACCTAAAATTATGCTTAACAAAAAATTTACTTTCTGGTATCGCTAAAGAATCAGCACAAATATTGTTAACAGTAATGTTTCTCCTCCTCTCTTGTGCATTAAAAGGAAAATCGTTCAATTCCACGATTTAATTTCATGTATGCAAGAAGAATTAAAGCGACGCCTTCTGTCGGAATATTTTATTTTAGTATACATAATTTAGCCAACTTTTTGTTGTTCACAAGTTCTGACGGCCATCCTAGTGTCATGCAAACCCTCGAGCAGCCACAACATGACTTCACCCCTCACCGTCATGATTTTACTCCCAGTTCTCATCACCCAAATTCACTTTTTCCAAACTGTTGCTTTGCTGGACATAAACTTAATTGAAAATTATTTTACCGAGAAATCTATTAAATCTGCGACAGTTTTTGGTTGTTTTCCCAAAAATGGTCAGTAATTGAAAATGGTACAATTTCACTTACTTAATTCAATTTTCCCTCAACAGAACAAGTAAATTTGGTAAAAATTTTATCAAAGGGATCATCCCCAATATCCGTTTTAAATCTCAATAATCAAACTGAAGTTCACAAAAGCATAAATACAAACCATCAACAAATCGGAGTAGTTTTAGACGGCGATTGTCCCGAAAGTGAAAGTTTTTTAATTACTGTAAGTTCCTGTTTCATAACCATTGTCCCCAATTTATTCTTTTAGTGCGGTCAACTCAAACTTTTCGACGTTAAACACCACTGGTTGATAATATCAAAATCAGTCCATATTTTGGATAAAATCAAAAACGCGATTATAAATATCAACGCTGATATTCATGTCGCTGTTCAAAGTGGTTCAAATTGGACGATATTTGATGTTTATAATCCTGCCTCAAAACATGGAGGCACTTTAAAGTACCCCCAAATGGGTTTTTATAGCCATGGGCGAGGCTACAATGCAAGAACTAACGAAGCGAAGTACTGGAGACGCAAAAATATGACCGGAGTTACTTTCAAAACAATGGTTGTGGTAAATACAAAATCAAAAATTGAGATTTTTGGCGTAATAAATATTCCAGTTGTTAGTCCCTTTTAAGGGGTCTTTGGAAGATTATCTTTACAATGACGATAATAGAAATATTAACACTTTTAATCGGTTTCAAAATAAATTACTCCGATTTTGTAGAGATTACTATAACTTTTCGTAACTATAAAGCAGAGTAAAAATACAATCAAAAATGTACATTTTAGAATGATTGTGGAACTGGGCACTTCGTGGGGTTATCCCTTGCCTAATGGCTCCTTCGACGGCATGGTTGGTGCCTTGGGAAAAAAATTAATAGATTTTGGAAGTTCGCCAATTTTCATTCGAGAAGATCGAGCAAGATTTATAGACTACGGCCGAAATACGTGGAGTTGGAAGTTGGTAACTCCACATTTTTTATAATTTTCTAATTGGTTCTAAATCAGAGCAGGATTTCTATTCCGAAGCCCAAAATCGAGGACTTCAATCGAGATTTTTCTGAAACCTCTCTCAACCTCAATTTGGTTGATCACAGGGGTTCTGGCAATCGTTTCTATTATAATTTTGAAAATGGTAACAACTTTTGAACGGAATAGATATCACAATACGACTGAAACGTCTTGGAGTTTGTCGTTTTTATTCACTTTGGGGGCTTTTTGCCAGCAAGGTACAAGTCGTAAAATGGGGATTTGGCTATTATTCGATTTTAGGATCACCAACGGTACCAAAAATGGCCTGTGGGCGCATCACTGCCATTTCAATTTTCCTACTTTCGGTGATAATTTATCAGTTTTATTCGGCAAGTATCGTTTCCCACTTGTTAATGAAACCAACAAGCAAGATTAAAAACTTGAAAGACCTCACTGAGTCAACTTTGAAAGTTGGATGTGAGGATATCATCTATAACAAAGACCTATTTGCTGTTGAGTTTGATTATTTTCAGTTTCCAAAACTTATTTTCTTCTTTTAGCACACTACTGATAAGGTCCTTAAAGAGTTGTATTTCAAAAAGATCTACGGAAAAGGTAACATGTCTCACTTTTTCCCGCCGGAAAAAGGTGTTGATTTAGTGAGACAAGGAGGATATGCTTTTCATATCGAGGTCGCTAGAGCTTATCCTATTATTGAAACAACTTTTCCCGATTACGCCATATGTGAGCTTCGAGAAGTAAAATTATTTAAAAATACGGATTTGTATAACACGATGCAAAAAGGGACACCGTTCCGTGATATGTTGGAAACTTGGTAAACACAAAACTGGTAGAAAACTGCCTAAGACGAAAATCGTAGTTTTCAGCGTTTGGCTGAACATGGAGTTTTGGACAGAGAAAAAAAACATTGGCATCCTAGGAAGCCAGAATGTATTCAATCGTCTCAAGCTTTTGTAACTTTTCATGTTGGTCTGGATGAGTTTTATCCAGCTTTGTTGATTCTCTTAATTGGGATTGCAATTAGTTTAATTGTGTTGATTGTGGAAAAACAAATACAGATGGCGAGAGAAAAAACGGAAAATGAAAACATTGCACGTTTGCCTTACACAGATTAAAAAAAAACATGGCAATGGCATTTATTGTCCGCTTCTTTGCATATATAATTTTCATCAGTCAAGAGTGAAGAATTTATGAAGTAGGTGTGCACCTGTCCCGTCTGCTCGGCATTACAAGCAATTTAAACTATATTCAATGTACTTAATTATTTCTTGTTTAAAAATTAAACTGAATCAATGGTTAAATGCTTTTTTTAATTATTGCCTTTTTACAAACAAATTATGAAAATGAAAAACGCCAAAAAATAAATAAGTAACCGTACTTAAGACGTAAAAAATGGTTGGTCTAATTTTATTTACTTCAAAATTATTTTTTACCGTTTGGATGTAACCGAACAGTATAATATTTAAATTGTTACTTGTACACAAAAGCACAACCCAGTCGATAATTGCTGTTTTAATTAAAAATTTAAACTACATACTTTTATTGTTGGACAGCATTGTAATAAAAGTAGTATAAAAAATATATAACAACAACAATGAGGTGAAGAACTCAACCGCAAAAATCAAAACCAAAACTCTTACTTCCATTTCAATTCTTATTCAAAATAATGAAATGGATGAAAAATTGTTGTTTGCCAAATAGGCGAATTATGGATATCTCCTGATTTAGGGAAAGATTTACTTCAAATTTCGATTTTTTTTTCCAAAAATGTGTAGTTTTGACTACGATCGTAGAATTTTGACCCAATAAATTATTTAAAAGTAGATTTTTGTAAATACGCCAACAGCCCTTTCTGATGTTCTATATTTTAAACATTTGCACAATAAGCATAACAGATCCCAAATTTGTTGATTTGTTCGATAAGTGCATTTAAAAAACCAGGAAAAATAACACATTTAAACAGACCTTCGTTGTGTTCCGGAATAACAACAATGCCGTCAATTTCAGTATCTAAAACTGTTTCAAAAGGAGCAGATGCCAGTGCTACACTTCGAACCCTTTCAGAATGCGATACTCTGCGAGGAATGTCTTCATAACTTCCTCCGAAACGTCTCCTTCTTTTGACAACTTTCTTTGTTGTTCGTGAACCTTTAATTAGGTATAAAGACATTCCAAAACTTAAAAACATGCATTTAAACCTACCTAAACAACATTGTAAAACCAACATAACAAAGAAAAGAAAGAAAATAACAATAAAAATACCCGCTGCTTTAATATTTAGTCCGTTCGATACCGTCATTTTGATTTTTATTTAATCACAAAACTGAAAATAAGGAAACTGTAAAGTTAGGTTACCGCATGGTTTACGTTCTAAAAATAATAAAAACAAGCTTCGCAACTGCGTTGCGCAACAAGTGAGGACACAAATGGATGAAGCATTTTGCCCCCACATAAAATTGATGATTTCAGTATTTCAAGGTCGAAAATTGTTTGGTTGTCTACACATTAGTTACAGTATTTACTCTTACATAAACAAATCATTTATTTAAAACAAATTTAATAAACTCTGTTTTTGATTTTGTACTATACTAAAAATATCACAGTTTTTACTTCATGTTTTAATTATTGTTTTCTTAATATTTTGCATGAAAGAGAATGTAATTAATAAATATAAAATATGCTGTTATCTGCTTTTTTCAAACACAACTGGCATTATACTACTGTAGGGGATAATAATAAATCAAAATCTTTCTCAGGCTTTTTTCTTTTTTTTTAAAGACTCAGGAACATGGTCATAACCAACAATTATACTATTTATTAATACGTATTAGACACTGAAAAACGCACAACTTATCAAGAAAGTATTTTTCAGTGTATGCCATGACGTATTTTAATTATGTATAATACCAGGCGCATCCACCAAGAATGTTGGAAAAAATTCAATTATTTCCCTGTTGTCTCATTACGGATGCCACAGAAAACTATTAAAAAATCAAAAACCACGTCTATAAAAGCGATTTTTTTAAAACTCGACAAGCAATACAGATCAGGTGTGTTATTTCAAGTGAGAAATAATGAAAGAATATTTGAATGATATTATTTAGAAATTTAATATAAGAGTTCTAATCGTGTTATACAAAAAAAAATTACTTTGCCCTTTACATCAATAAATTAACAGTCCTATTTCATTTCATTAATGAAAAAAACTAGGTAAACTGTTTCAAAAACAATAAAATTACCTGTTGAAAACTGAATACCTCAAATATTCTTTTGTACATCAAAATAATGGGATCCAATTTATGAAAATGCTTCAAGCTAAAGTCTTATGTAAAAATCTATTGAGTTTATTCTTTTTAGGGACATGAAACGTATGAAGAAGTTAGTTTTTCTTGCTGTCCTAACAGTAATTATCTACAAAGCAAACTGCACGGATGATTACGATATAATCACGAGCTATCTCAGAGAAAAATCTGTTAAATATGCCACTGTTTTTGGTTGTTTTACCAAAAAAGAAAAAATTAATTTGGTTAAAATAATTTCACGCACTTGTCCCACTTCGGTTTTTGATATTAATCGACAAAACATTCAGGAAAGAATGAAAAGCAGACACTTTCACACCGGAATTATACTATACGGAGACTGTGCTTCAACTGAAAAATTTATAACCAATGTAAGTTATTGTTAACTAGTATTTTCCTAATAAAGGGTTGCAGTGTGGTCAGTCATACCTCTTCGATGTGAAACATCATTGGCTCATAATAGCATCGTCTAAAAACATTAGAGCAAAATTCGACAATGTTATACTAAATATAAATGCCGACATTAAGGTTGTAATTCCGGAAAAAACATCAAACTGGAGTGTCATTGATGTTTATAATCCAGCCTCTAAACACGGTGGCGCGTTAAATTTTACCAAAATTGGTATTTACAACAAACATGATGGATACAAGATAAAGTACACTGGAGTAAAGTATTGGAATAGGAAAAACCTCACTGGAGTCACTTTTAAATCAATGGTTGTGGTAGGCCGCCCAAATACGTTAAAAACCACACCTATAAACCATGTTTTCAGTTGCCGGTACCATTTAAAGGCACTTTACAGAATTACTTGGACAGTGATGATAACAGAGATGTTAACACTTTTAACAGATTTCATAGCAGACTGATAAGTTTTTGTAAAGATTATTATAATTTTTCGTAGTAAAATTTTTTAGTCAATTTTCGCGGCTTAAAAGTGATATTTTTAGACTTGATATTGAAGTGTCAAGATCCTGGGGCTACACAAAGGGTGATGGGACTTTTGACGGAATGGTTGGGGCATTGGAAAATAAAATTATAGATTTCGGAAGTTCTCCTCTGTTTCTTAGAGAAGATCGTGCCAGAGTTATAGATTATGGAAGAAACACGTGGATTTTAAGGTCCTTAAAATGCCTAAAGTAGAATAATGTCGAATTGGGATTTTAGAGCTGCTTTTATTTTCCGAAATCCAAAAGCTCGAACAAATCTTGAGATTTTTTTGCGCCCTTTGCCAAGTTCTGTTTGGCTAATTACAGGCTTGTTGGCAATTGTTTCAATAATTATCTTAAAACTGGCAACGTCCTTTGAAAGGAGGAGATATGTTCATGCCGTTGAGACGTCTTGGAGTGTTTCCGTGATTTTTACTTTGGGGGCATTTTGCCAGCAAGGTTCGCCATCAACACCCAAAATGGCATGCGGACGAATTGCTGTGTTTTTCATTTTTTTACTCTCAGTCCTGATTTATCAGTTTTATTCAGCTAGTTTGGTGTCTCATTTACTGAATAAGCCGCTTACGAAAATTAAAACTCTTAGAGACCTGCTTGAGTCGCCTCTCAAGGCTGGATGCGAAGATATACTCTACGATAGGGATTACTTTATGGTAACGAAGTAATTTTAAACATTGTTTTCGAAAAATACGTCTTCTAGCATACCAATGATGAAGTCGCCCGCGAATTGTACACCAAAAAAATTCTAGGCAAATCAAATTCATCCAACTTTCACACCCCGGAAGAAGGTTTAAGACTGGTAGAAGAAGGCGGTTATGCTTTCCATGTTGAAACAGCAACGGCCTACCCTATAATTGAATCAACTTTTCAAGACCAAGCAGTTTGTGAACTTCGAGAAGTTCAGCTCTTTAGGACCCAACCAATGCACGCAAACTTTCAAAAAAAGTCGCCGTTTCGGGATATGTTTGACACTTGGTGATTAACATTTTACATAAAAATCTGTTCTGAAAGTTTTCTTCAGTTTTCAGCGATTGGCCGAACATGGGCTTTTGGTGAGGGAACGAGAACATTGGCATCCTCGTAAACCGGAATGCATTCAGTCGTCTAAATCTATACAATTTAATATGGGATTGGATGATTTTTATCCGGCTTTGGTGATACTTTTAGTTGGAATTGCAACTAGTTTGGTAATTTTAATTATTGAGAAGGAATTTACAATCCTGAAAGAAAAACCGGCGCATCCACCAATTATGGTGCTCGAAGCAAAAAATACTCCATACCCTTATGTTGACTAAAGAGAAAATAAAAGCAAACTAGAATTTAAATAAATAACTACAAAAAATATCAAATGTTAAAGATACGATTAAAGGGAAAACCTGATATTCACAAAATATTTCACAATAAAAAAATTGATAACACTAAAACAGATGTTTAACTATACCTGTTTTACAGTACTACTGATAATAATACTCTAAAGTTTTTTTTTTTAAAAACTTCATTTAAATAAAAATGTTTACAACAAAGTTACTATACTTATTGATTGCTGGTTAATTAAGCATCTTCTATTTTCCCATTATTACAAACACCTTTTAAAAACAATAATAATTAAAGAATAATATAATAAAACACTAACAGATCTTTAACTGTTTATTTTGAGTTACTGTGAGTTATAATAAAGCACAAAAATGTATGCACTAATTTGTAAATGGTTGAACAACATTTTTCTTACGAAACAAACCCCTAATATACTCTTTTTTGTAAGCTATTCTCTCCCTTAAAAGCAAAACCAATGAAAACAAAACGCCATAAGAAAGAACAATTAACCCTGAAGAAAACTCCTTTAGACCAACATTGAATGTGAATTTTTTAGCAGATTCGATGCACATCGGCTTGCGAGCATCCCAGTATTTTCTCAACCGATCCATTATCCCGTTTTCAACCAGATGCAACATACTGGTGAAACATTAACAAAGTTTAGTTATGATCAATGACTTACCAGTAGTTCATCATTTCGCGAAACGGCGAATTCTTCTGAAGATTGGTATGCATAGGTTGCGTTCTATACATTTGCACTTCTTCAAGTTCACAAATTTCTTCATTCGTGAAAGTTTCCTCGATAATGGGGTATGCAGTGCTTGTTTCAACATGAAACGCAAATCCGCCCTGTTTCACCAAATCCAACCCTTCCCAAGGCTCATAAAAACCCGAATTATTATTACCATATATAATTTTTTTATTAAATAATTCGATAGCTATCGGATCTGTAGTTTGCTGTAATTGCATTTGAATAAATTAGTGTGTCACTGCGTTCATAAGTAATGTTACCACAAAGTAATTTCTGTCAATCAAAATATCCTCAATTCCGACTCTCAAATTACTGTCAGACAAATCTTTTAAATTATTAATTTTCCGCGGAGGATCTATCAATAAATAAGACACAATACTCGCCGAATAAAATTGATACGTCAATATGCAAAAAAGAAAAATAAAAACCGATAGAGTCCTACTGCTTAGTAACTGGGGATGACAGGTGGCCCCCTGTTGGCAAAAAGCCCCCAAAGTAAATAAAAACAAAAAGCTCCAACTGCTATCAACCATATTGTGTTTCTCTCGGCTGAAAATCACTTTCAAAAAAAGCATTAGAAGCACCATCATCAACACGATACAGATCCAAACAGTTTGAGATAAAGGCCTCAGAAATATCCTGTAAGATGCTTCTATGATTTTCGGACGTCTGTAGATAAAAGTAGACCTCAAAACCCAATTTCCGAAACTGTAATCAATAACCGGCATTCGATCGAGCTTGTAAATCAAAGGAGAGCTCCCAAAATCCACAAGTCTGCGTTCAAGCAGACCCACCAAGCCGTCGAAATGACCATTCGGAGTCAAATAACCCCAAGAATCAGTTCTCTGAATCTCCAGACTGAAATTGTACATTTCTCGGCAATAGTTAACCGTCACGCTTTGAAATCTGTGCATGGAATTCAATTGGCGATTTTCTTCACTTGTTAGATAATCATTTAGTTTAATACTAGGGTCAGGGACAACAACAGCTGATTTGAATCGAACCCCACTCATGTTTTTTCTTGTCCAGTATTTGTTACCGTTGATTTTTGCTTGAAACCCATTTGTTTCATTACAATATCCTAATTTTATGACTGTAAATTGGCCGTGGTGGCTTGACGCAGGGTTATATACGTCCAAAATTGACCACTCATTAGGTTCTTCATTTAAAATTGCAACGTTTACGTCTGAATTTATGTTTAGTGGTGCTTTTAGTAGAAAATTTAGAGTCTTGTTGAGATTTTGTGTTGTTGTTGGGATCAACCAATGATATGTTTCGTAGAAGTATTTTTTATCCTGTAAACAGGCACGCTTACTAAAAATTGATGTTTTATAATTTTTTACGTTTAAGTTAAGTAAAGCTATGAAAAAATTCCATTTTAATTCATAATAATAATAATAATTTAAAAATGTTTTGTTTATGAAGATCTTTTGTTACCTGTGGTAATATTTTGATTAACATAAATCTATAGATAAATCAACAATTAAAAAAAATCGCCATAAACAATTTTGGTGTAATAAGTGTTACCAAAAAATAAAAAATTACCTGAATGATAAAATCAGCAAAGTCAATACAACTGCTGTCTATTATAACAGCTAAGTGATAATAATTACGACGTAACACTTGATCCAGTTGATCTAACGGAAAATTTTGGTTTTGAGTGTCGTTAATGTCAATATTTAAAAAGCGTAATCCTACTTTACTTAATGAAATAATTTTTTTCGTATTATCTGTAAATAAAAATCTACAATTAATATGTTTTGTTTTTTAAATTGTTTTATCTTTTAGTATCTTGCGATAAATTGTAATGTATAACACAAAAATCGTATAACAATTTTCCTTGTTCTTATTTTATTAAAGAAAGTAATTTGCACTGCATGTTATGTAGGTCTTAATTATGAGACTATACAGACCTCTTTTCCTTTGGCATGAGAAAATGGTCCCCATTCGAACATTCTTTGCCTCGCAGTATTTTGTTATTAAAGTTTGGTCATGAGCAAGAGTATTACCTATTGAAAATATTTGGTACAATACCAAAATACCCAAGAAACTTATCATGTTGAAGTGCACACCACAAACTGCACTACAATTTCGTTGGCATTTTATATAATTTGGACAATTTAAATGCAATTGCAGGAAACTTTGTAGCATAAATCTTTTATTTAATTGGTTTATTAAAGACGTAATTGTATTTTGAAATAAATATTACATGAATATTTTACAAATATTTGAAGCTCTTAGGCAATTATTACATTGTCATACAAAAACTACAATACTAGTTGTTTCACAGTTAAAAATGAATTAATAAATAAATTAAAACTAATTACAAGTACCAATAACAGCAATATATTTACATGAATGTCTTAAAGCTAGTTCCAAAAATTGTTTGATACTGTAGTAAAAAAATCAGCCCGAATTTTTGTATCACAATATCTACTTTGCGACGATTCCCAAACTCACAACAGCAAAAAATATTTGGTATAGCAAAAAGTTAGCTTTCCAAGATCAAAGAATACTCACCATGCTTCCAATTAAAACAATATAGAGCTTAATCGAGAAGAGCAACAAAACTAGTAGATCCCTAGACACACAAACCAAACAAAACAAACACAAAATGAATGCATGACTCTGTTTAATGTAACCTCAACTAAGCCCTTCTACGGGAATGTGACCGAACTTATCGTTCTTCTAATATCACAGTTTCTTGGGGACACAATTTGAGTTCCTTGAGTGTATTATTTATATCTAACAAAGTCAGCTAAAAAAAGACAATGAGTACCTAATCCCGGAACACAATTGCATACTTACATCTCTTCTAGGCCAGCTAGATATCACTTTATACTCTTCACGGGGAAAACCTTTAACGGTTAAAAAGTCAAACAAGACTTTCAGAGGAGTATTTGCTTGAAATCGGCGTTCTATACTCAACCCATTCGGTAATCTAAAGCGGATTTTGGCTATTCCATCACCCTGACTTAGAGGCGGCTCTGATGGTAAACTGGCTTCAACTTCTTTACGATGCGCTTCTTTCCGTGCAAGTTCTTGAGCTTTTTCGTTTTCTATTCGTTGTCGAGCTTCCGATTCGGCTTGAGCTTGCTGTCTTCGAGCTTCCTCTTTCGCCCTAAAATTACAACTTTTTTTTTTCAACTCATTTAATTTTCTTTTACCTGTCGGCTTCCAAACTCTCACGATACGCTTCATCTTGCTCCCACTTGACCAACTCTCTTTCAGCCCTCTCTTTCTCTTCAACAATTTCAACTCTTTGATGTTCTGTAAAGACCTCAACTGCCTCAATTAGGCTTGAAAGTAGCTCGTTGACTCCCACATTGCCTATTAATAAAACGATAAATACACAAATCAACTATTAAGTGATTAGTACCATGTATAACGCTAAAAATATCTGTTGAAGAACGAATCCTCATAATGAGGACTAAAGCAGGAAGTCTATCGACTGGAATATTGCGTAAACTCATCGCAGCCGTCGCTCCTAAAGCATTATTGACGTATGTTTGTAATCGAGTACGATTTGATTCGAACGTGAGATCCCATCCCCACAAAATGAAATTAGTTTCAAACATTTGCATTACACTTTCGTAGCCTAAAAGTTGGGTACAAAAGACATTTGTTAACACGCTGGAGTCGTGGTGAAGGTATATCGCTAAAATTTTTCTCTAAAAAAACATTTAATCAAATTTAATTTTTCACAATTTAAAATTTAAATACTTCTGCTGCTGGTTTTTGGCAAGCTTCCTTGATCGCATCTTCTAAAGTACTTTGATAAAAAGCGGGATGTACAGGGCCGTACCTGTTTGTAAATTGCTCGGAAAAACTTATACTACCCACGATTTCATCTTCTATATTGTCTGGAACTGTAGCCAAAATTAACAAAATTCTATAAATTTTCTTGTAATACTAACTCAAGGGTTCGGTGCGTTTTGATGGAATATTATCGACGAAATAATCATCATCGACGTTGAAACTTTCTGAGGCGTCTTCAAATTCATCGTCGTCACTGTCAATCTGAACGATATTTGTGTTGTTTTGCTTCTTATCTTTATTGTGATTCACAAAACAAGACCGTTTTACTGTCAAGTCATGTTCAGGGTAACTAGAAATTGTAAAATTAATCTTGAGAAAAGTAAAAACCTAAAAATGTATTACTTGATTCCGGAAAGTGCTAACATGGTTTGATCGTCTATATTAGGGGGCCAACCGCTCCAAATTTGATTGCGAACATGAATATTTGTTAAAGTATAAACGTCTGCCTTTACTTTAAGTATGTTTTGAGTTCCTGGATATTTGAGGTTGTACGTTTTATCCTCACATTTTATATTAAGAGTGTATTTTCCCGATAATCGTTCTTGGACCTCTAAACTAAAATAATTGATTTATTAAAAAAAAATCCTTCTTTGCAATGACATTAACCATACAACTGGTACAATTTAAATTTAAAAAATTACGATTTTGTAATAACTTAAGTTTAAATAGATGTTTCTGGGATTCCGAAAAAACTTGACTGGTACAAGTAGAAAAACAAGAAAAAAACTTAGTAGGATGACTTTGTAATTATTTATGAAAACTTAGAATCAATAATGAACTTACTCATCATCTGCTGTAAATCCTCCCTCTGCAGGCTTGAGTGTTAAAAGCAAAGCACTTTCTTGTGGCAATTGCAACGCAGAAAACGGAGTATTCTCATATTGGGCCATCCTAGCCCATCCTGACAAAAGCTGACGACAGGGCGAAATTTTCAATTCATTAAATAATTTCAACTTTAAGTCATCTAAAAACGGCAGATTAAACAAACAACTGGGCATTTTTCAAGCTTACTAACAAATTGTAGCCGTTTCTGGTAGTTCTATTGTAATAATTCTATCGCAATATTGTATATTGAATTTCAGTATCTTGACGGTACTATTTCTAGAAGTCGATGGTTGTTCACTGGTTAAGTTGTTGGCCACTGAGTGTCCAACATTGTTGCCCACTTCCATCATATCAGTAGCCGTTTCAATAGGACTTGATGGAACGTTTATGTAGTCGTCCACTACCATAACATCGGGGTCTGACCGCGGTTGAAAAGACTGACTATCGGGTGGCATGACTCGACTGACTGCACGCTTTTGAAATAAAATTCTGTTAGTACCTTGGACTACTTTATTTGATGAAATACTTACGAGTAAGTCCCAATTCGTTTCGTCCAAGTGATAGATTGCTTCGGCAACATCCTCGATTCCAGTGCAGGCCTAGTACAAAGAAAAATTGGCAATGAAAAAATACTGAATGTCATCCTTCTAACCTGACTCAACTTTAAATTCATTTTTATCTTTGATTTTATGTAGAATTACGAAGAAACAAATTACCTGGAAATCTGCAAGAATCTCTTCGCGATTTTCCGACATGATAACAACAGTGCAATGTATTTATTTCACAAGGGAAAATTGGACAATCGTTTCTGATATAAGGAAAAACACTACTTGTCAATTCCTAAAACGTCTATAAACATCACGTTCTGCGCAAGTGTCGCGCTAAATTTGAATAAAACTTGATTTAAAATTGTTAACATAAAATTATAAACATATTGATATTATTAGCAAAATTGTTTTAAAATTAAAAAAATATAAAAACATTTATTTTACTAAATAATTAACAGTTTTCTTGTTTTTTTCACAAATATGTAGATTATGTTTTATATTCTTATATAAAAACGCAAGTACCAATTAAGATCATCACAATTTGGTACCTAAGATTAAAAACAAGTTTTTAATTAAATAAATAAATTACTTGAATACCTTTAAATCGTCTTACACACAAGGTCATAGTAGTTCTAATGAGAGGAATAATAACCTAAAAAAATTAAAAAAGTAAAGTTGCTTAATAAAAAACTAAAAGTAAAACATTTGTAATATTACCGGTGGTAATAATGGAAACGTAATCACGTATTAAATAATTACCAATTTATACAAGTTTTCGTAGCGCAAATGGTATTTAGGTCTAATTAGATTTAAGCACTGTTTTCATTTTAAATACGAGTAGTTCCGTTGTACAAGCATACAACAAAACAAAAATCTTAATTATTTAGTGTTATTTTGATAAAAAGTGGTAATATACAGTAAATAGAAGTTTATTGTGAGATACAAATTATAAAGGTCACCCAGAGTAAAATTTTAAAGTGCTTCTTGTGTCCCCTTTCCTTGACAGTGCATCAAATTGTCAAATCAATGTTTTTTGATTTGATTGAAATAAACATTTCTACTAGAACCGTGTGTAGAGTAGTCAGTATTTACTACAGCGTGTATTTTTGTTCTATTTTGTATATTTTAGGCACTGGTCACTTTGGTATTACTTTGCTGGTATCACGTTGTACTTCTAGATAGGCACTTTAGGACCCCATATTTTTGCGGTGAATTTTAATTACAGAAACAAAAATGCCGTTCAGTGCAGACGCAATCGCTGCACAAAAGGTTCAGGAGCACTTAAAGTCGTTATACCACGTAGTTCATGACATTGAGAAGAAACGCCAACAGAGTGAACAAGGAATAAACAACATTGTTAAGTTTCAAAACGGGCAAGATGAGAAGTCCAGCCAACATTATCAGGTCTGAAATTCACAGCAACTTTTGACATTCACAGAATATTTGAAGACAGTTTCCAAAAAAATAACAGTAACTTGGGGCTAACATTCTTATTTGTGTGTTGTTCTCTGCTGCTCTTTTTTCGGAGTGCTTTTTATCAGCATCCTTTTTCTCAGCGTTAGTTATTACCTAATAATCATCAGGCAAATGAAAGTTAACTAATTTTGATACAACTTACTGTTAATAATACTAAAATGTAAGTGATTACAATGATTTTTAAGATTTTCGATGACATTTTTCTTATCTTTACTATAAGTTTTTACCCTAGAAACGCAAAAATCAATAAATCTGTTTTGGGTTTTTGGCCACCTTGTTAACATTTAAACCACGCAATTAGTTTCAAATAAAAATGTTTGTTAATCTGCATTTGAGTCAATGCTATTGTTTTGTTCAATTGACGCAAATAATCAAACTGCGTTTACAACATAACTCAATTAAAAAATAAAATATAAAAGGGAAAGGAGGTAAACAAATTCTGTTTTTTTTTCTTATTAGCTGAAACTAAAAAGCCTACACAAGTCATCTATTTCGCAAGCTGAGCAAGAGGAGGATTTACTCCGTCAAGCCCTTCAAAAAATTGCTGAAATCCGCAACATCAAGAACGAACGAAGAATTCAAGCGCGACACGCCGGAAATAAGGAATCGATTCGTAGAGGCACTTGGATGAAGATGTTGATGAGTTCAGCTCAAACATTGCCTCTTTTCGTCGGCAAAATAGACGAAAAACCTCCTGCGCTGTGTGGTGCGACACCTGCTGATTCAGGCTATGTGGCAAAAGTGGGCGATATGGTCGCAGCATTGGTTAAAATTCCAGATGGAGATGGCGAAAACTGGATATTGGCTGAAGTGTACAGTTACAATCACGCCACGAATAAATACGAAGTTGATGATATTTTGGCGGAACAGAATCAGAAGCGGCGACATACTTTGAGCAAAAGAAATGTAGTACCGCTGCCATTGATGCGGGCTAATCCCGAGACTGACCCAACAGCTTTGTTTCCTCAAGGGACCGTCGGTAAGTAAATTAAAATGTGGTTAATTGAATTGTTAATTTTATGTTTCAGTTATGGCTCTATATCCGACTACCAGTTGCTTTTACAAGGGCATTGTAAATAAGCCTCCAGCTACACATACTGATGAGTATGAGATTTTATTTGAGGATGCTGCTTATCCTGAAGGCTACAGTCCGCCCCTGTATGTGGCTCAACGCTACGTCATTGCTATAAAACAGAAGACAAAGCAAACCTGACATTATCTTTCAGACAATATGTCTGATTCTGAAACTTCAAGTTTTATGGAATAATGTATTAGATAGTAAAATTATTCAAGAATCTCTTTTGTTATATTTCACCAATTTATTATTCATCTTTACATGTACATGAATTTTTTTACATTTTTGTTATTTTCTAATCTAACTTTTAAAAAAATGGAACTCCTGAAAAAACAGGCTGAAGGTACCTGTAATGTTGCAACATTAAAGATTATAAAAAAAAAACGAAAATTGTTCAGACCGCAACAAAACTATTGTCAATACCATTACAACTATCAATTTCTCACTCAATAAACAAAAGAAACTCATAGTTATTTTTTTCTTTACTTTCTTCTGACTATGAAGAAAAATGAATTTCCACACACCCACGCAAACACTCGCACAAATTCATACATGTTAGCCTAGAATCTAATTTTTACGAGGGGAAAATGTTTTTAATTTACAGTTTTTTAACTTCACTTTTTTCTTGTTTCTTTTATAACTTTTTTTTCTTTATCCAAAATATCAGTGTGATAGAATTATGAGAGGTGTTACTTAAACAAAAATGTAATAATGATGTTCCTTATATTTACCAGGCCCGTCAGTATGGTGAAAAATATCCACCTCGTCTGTAACTCCTAAAAATGTAGACATCAGTTCATTAAGAAACTTCATATTTGCTCCAAATTAAAAAACAGAAACAATACTGTAAAAATAAAAGCAACCACACAGAAATTATATTGTTTCGTGTTTTATTGTACAAGATTGAAGAAATATACCTGGGTCTACGCATGGGCCTATAGCCAGCGTAAAATCCCCGTCCGACTCCTCGTGCCCCGCGGAACGCCCCTCTGCCCCTTGGCGGCCGGTTTGTAGTGGAAAGGCCCGGTCTGTTTGTCCTTTTAGGCATGACCTAAAGACAAATAGTATAATTAAGTAAACTGAAATTGATGAAGTCTCACTTTTATTGGTCTTCCTCTAAATAACGACTCGTCCATTGCCATCGCCGTCTGCACGGAATCCCTATCTCCAAATTCAATGTAGGCAAACCCCTTTGGATGTCCGTCATATTTATTACAGAGGATGGTGACCCGGTTTATTGATCCACAGCCATGGAAGTGTTGTTCCAGTTCTTCAGCTGTTGCGCCATAGTCGACATTGCCAACATAAATACTGCGATTATCTACCTCCATCTTCTCCTCAAGTGACATATTCAAAGGGCTAGCTATAAATAGGGTTCCTGTCAAGCCTGTCGCATTGTGCTATTGTACTTACTTAGTCCAGGAGGACTACCCATATTCATTTGTTTATCAACTTCACTCTGGAGCTGTTTCAACTTTTCGGCTTCTTCTTCCATCTCACGGACCCGAGCTTTGATGGCTTCGAGTTCGGGGTCGTCGCCCCCGGCACCGTCCAAATCAGTGTCGTTTAAAAGAGCGTCGTCGTGCATCCCATTTGTTTCATCTAAAGATTCTAAATGATCCTCTGGACCTAATCCCAAATCTTCATTATCAGCCATAGCTGAAAAATGTCAACATAACCCCACTTTTAGTATAATAAATATTTCATAAATTGCTCGTTATTGTTGCAACTTTTAACCACAAATTCTAATTACATTTGAACAAATACATTTCTTACAACCATCCCATTCAATTTATTTTGCAAAATTTCGGTTTTTGGGGTAGATCAAGATTGAACGTTGTACTTTACATAACAGAAACTCGATACGTACTTTATACAAGCTGTTATATGTAAATACTGCCGTACTGAAGATACTTTTCGGAAAAAAGGGCACTAAAACACAGCATCCAAACCACTTTTTGAAAACCGGTAAATTATGGAAGAGTCGGCTTGTCGAGAAAAATGGCGTAGCTACTTGCGTTGCCAACATTTGCATAACCACTAACCAGGAACACCAATTCCAATAACAAAAACCACTACATTCAAAAAATCAAAAATAGCTTTTCAAAATTTAATAAAAATAAGAAAATTACGAAATTTAAGCACATTTAAAAAAAGTTGAAGTTAAAAAATACACACAAATCCTATTTTATTTTAAAAGTATTATTTTATGACTAAAGACACGCAGTAGTTCAAAATATGCAGGGTGCGCCAGAACTCGCGCCCTGGAGAAAAATGTAAGATACAAAGAACATGAAAAAATAAAAAATGTTAAAAAAATTCTACCAACAAAAATTTCGAAGTTGAGAGCTTAAATTTTGCATTTTGACTATATATTTTTGTTGCAAAAATAATTTTCAAAGTTTTTTTGCTACCGGCTATTAGAAGAAGAAACAAGAAACCTGTATCCTAAATTGTAACTCTGTTTAATGTTATTTGTGGTTTTTACTGGCAAAATTCTTGTATCTTCACTAAATAATTATAAAAAACATATACAGCTTCATTCAAAGAAAAACGGGAAAAGTAAAAAAAAATAGAGGTTTTTTTTCAATTTGTCCATGGTGTGAACGTGTTTTATTAAAAATAGGTTAAAATATTTTGATGCCACTTTAAATTCTGCCGCTAAATTCATAATTTTCCTACCATTTTCCGGATGAGCGACGATTCTGGCTTTCTCTATTTCACTTAAATGCGGCATTACACAAGTTGGTATAAATTTAATGCCATTGATTTTTGATGGGTATTATCAAGTTGACAATTGACAACTAGAACCGAATTTACATTTGGAAAAATTTCATTTCCCGTTTTTTTTTAATGTAGTTGTACAAGATCATCAGTATCACGATCGTGATCAGTATCATTAATTTAAAATGGCAAACGTCAAAAAATAAATGGCAAAATTTTTTGTCAGAATTTTGTAAACATTTTTTCCATGTTCTTAGTATTTTATCTTACTTGAAATTTTTGTCTGGGGCGCGAGTTTTAACCCACCATGTATGTACCTACATACAGAGTGTACCACGAGTAATAATGAGCCTGATTTTTTTTTGAATCAACCATCATTACATTTCATAGATAACGTGGATATTAAAATATTTTGTTTTAATTAGTTAAACATAGTAATCGTATTTTTATTTTTGACAAATTTTTATCAGTCAAAATGACTACTCCAGTTTTAGAAAGTCCGTCTATTTGGATATCGCGCTGGATATAAACGTGCAGTCTGCGAAGCGTTTTTTAATCATTCTTCATAAATGAGACTCTTGTTGCTCTTTTCGGCAAAATTTTAGTTATTTTCACCAAATTTTCCAAGGTTTGACTTTTTATAAATAAAATTGAAGAGTGCTGTTTGGTCACAATGTTTAATTTATTAAAACTAAATATTTTAATATCCACGTTATCTTTGAAATGTAATGTTGGTTGCTTCCAAAATTTTTTCAGGCTCATTATTACCCGTGGGACATCCTGTATCATAAGCAAAAGAAAACAAAGTTTTCAACCTAATGTACAACATATTATTATAATCTTGTTAAAAAAATATTATCTATAAAAATTCATTTAAAAATGTAGTCCCAATACACTTTAAAACATCTAAATTAATCTTTTTCTAGAGTTAACTTTATGTTAAAATAGTACAACTAATTTTTTTTTTTTTATAATAATAATCCCAACTGAGATTAAACAGCTGTAAAAAATTATATCTATTTATTTACTTGCATTTTTATAGTTATACATTCAAAAATGTCGGATAAATTCCCGAATGGTGACAGAAGACTTTTAGTTAAGCATAAAAATAAATTCAATTTTTTTGAAGCTTTTTTTTTTAAATAAAACTGTCAATTTTCATATTATCATATAGTTTTTTTGTTTCCGATGTTGTTAGATTTAATTTATTGTTAAATTTGCTAGTTTGTTAAATGTTTTTTACACAATAAGACACAAATTGGTGATTTTTTTCAACACGTACTTATCTGCTCAGTCTTAACTTAATCCAAAATCAAATCTTGTTAAAAAAGGCTCATACAATTTTTGTCATGGGAACTTTTAACTTAGATGGATGTCCTTTATCACCACCCAAGATGGATCACCCTGTATAAAAAAATAAAATATTTTTTACGCACTTTTTTTCCACTTAATTTATGTTTTTATTTTTTTATTAATGCCAAAAATTAGATACAAATATGCATTATATAATCTAGATGGACAGCTGATAAAAAAAAAATAAAATAGGAGGTCCTTGCACTGATTATTATCTTACATCGTCACATATCCTTTGTCACAGCTATAGAATTTTAAAACCGAGTAATAAGACATGAAAAATGCCGTGAATATTTATAAACTGATGAACTTGACACAAATGTATTGTTCCTAGAGAAACAATTAAAAGACAGTAAATGCCGGATGTGGCCTCGTACATGATTTCATTCCTTATGACCATTTCTAGAGGAAATTTCCTTGATTTTGTTTGTCAAGAATCCTTATTAAAACCCTGCTGAAACTTGACTTAGGTTATGGTGGAATATTTTAAATTAAATCTGATGGCATTGAATTGAGGGTCACTAACTAACCTTTTATACCTACACGAAAGGTGGTCGCCGGATATCCTTCCTGAAGATTGACAAGTACAAGCGACTTTAATGAAGTGTATATGTTTCAGTTGTTAAAAAACAAGTTTGGCTCTTTTATTGTTGTTTATTTCAGTTAATTATTTTTATGTAGTCTCTTTAGGCATATCCGGATTTACTAAACGTAAACATCAATAATTCTTCGAAAACGAATTGTAACCTTCCAGCTTCCGAAGGACGGAATATCCGGATTTTTCGTTTCTACCAAAACACTTATAATTTTACGTTAGAAGTTTATTTTTCTTGATTACTGATAAACAAAAATAACAAATTCGTAGAAAAAATATTTCCCTTCAGAAGGAGATTTTTGAATTACACTATAGAAAAATAATATTTATAAGGTGACCCAATTTCGCCAAAAGTTCATTTCCTTCTTAGTTCCCGTGAACTTTCTGCAAAAACGACAAGGTTGAAAGTTGTATGAGTATCCAAAATAACAATGTTAAGTCCTGAAAATCCTTGTGATCATTCGACTGGAATAAAGAATATGTTTGTATAGGAAATAAACGTTATTCAAGTTGCAATGTCAAGTTATAGGTCTTGTCTAGTAATTAATGTCATTATGTAACATAATAGTTGTAAATAGAGCTAATAAACCTTATTCATTTATCATTTATAATCGGTTCGATTTTTCTACAAAACATATACTTATACGTATACACTACAAACAGGCAGTATTAATTTGATACGAGTAAAGAATTTTTGTGATGACAGAGTCAACTTATTGATGCAGGTGGAAGAAACAATATGATCACACCAATATTCTCAGTAATTTAATTAAAAAATAAGTAATTATGTATTTATTTTATTCCAAAATAGGTACCTAAAGCAAATTAATTGTAACTCATTTTGAAATTTCATAAATTGTCTGGAATGCTAGTTTTTGATACGACTATAAATGTTATAAGGACCAGAAATTAAAAAAATATAAATTTCATTCAATCTTTTATTGTTTGTATTGTAAATTTTCTGTGAAGTCGATGGACTTTTTTTATTTTTTATTTTCCTGAAATGACCAAAAGTGCAGCCCAAATGTGTTTTAAATATAAAAATTTATTTGTTCCAAACAAATGTGCAACCAAGCCATTATATCATGAAAAAACTTACAAATGTTTCGTCAACCAAGTTGACATTATCAGGTTATTTTTCTGTCTCAAAACCTGAACATATTTTATGTCTTGTACTTATTTTTCTTAGAAAATAATTCCAAATCCACTGCCTTCAAAATTTTTCCCACTTACGAGTTCTTAATATCTTTATAGTTTATGGCACCGGAGATTACTACTTTACTGTTAATTTGTTTGTAATTTAGTAGGATTTTTCCGACCAAACTTCCTAGTTTGGTAGTTCTTTAATTCTTATAAAAACATTCCACATAAGATCTTAAAATAAGTACCTACACCTTTGTAAACTTTGTATAAGTAGACAATTACATATTTATTTTTGGGAAAATTTTCCTTATATTTACGATTTAACGATATTTGTCTTTAATATATCTTAAAAATAATTCTAAGCAATGTATTGGTGAATTTATGCTTATATATTTAAGATTTATCATTTAAGATTTTATTTAATTTAAGACTTAACACATTTAACATCTTACGACATTTTCGAATTTATACTTCTAAATTAATGAAAAAGTAATTTAAAGATACACCGATGTAAATATCGTTTTTAACACAAACATTTGTTAAATTAGTGACAATTTGTTACAATCTATAAACTATATTCTCTAACAGTGTCGACGAGTGGAGCATCTTCCATACTAATTCTTATTATTTCAGAAAAAAATTTCACTTTTCAAGTGTTTGTCACTTAATGTAAAAATATAAAAGTTGGCAAACTCTTAAATTAAATTAAATTTTAAATACTAAAGCCTTAAATGTTGATAGGTACAAAATTAATGTTAGTGTACATTAGCAATGATAGAATAAAAACATGTTTGCAAGGAAAAATAACATCTATTTATCTAGGTATATACCATCATGTAATAGTTATTTATTGTAAGAGTGTGTTATATAGCGTCTTATACACGCAAAAATGTTTAACCGCGAGAACGTTAGTTCGAGCGGTTAATTTTCTTAAGTGGATAAAATTCGACTAACACACGACTGCAATATAACGTTTCATCCACAATCACAGGCTCAAATTATTCCAAACTTAATTAAAAATTAAACTGACATTTAAAGTCACGCCAAATGTGCTTTCGGTTAAACGTAGTAAGCTGTTACGCGGTGCGCTGGTTACTAACAGTGGAATAAAGTTACTTTATTCCACTAGTGAATAAAGTGGTACTTTATACGCATCTACAAAGTGTAGAATAATTCACGAGAGGATTTTTAAACCAGGAGTGTTAACGAGTGG